GATTTATCTTTACAATTAAATTTTAGGTTTTGTTTGTCCTTGTTTAAGCCTTCTAGTTATGACGTTTCAGAGTGTTGCAAACAATAATATAAAAAATGCTGTTCTTTTATTCTAATTGCAGATGGTACGGAGCAGATGTGAAATGGAATGGAACTGTACCATTTGTGTAGTCTCCCTTTCTTTGAGCAGCCAATGAGTGACTGTAATATATAAATCTAGGATTCCAAATAGTGTTTATGTTGAAGAAACAAAGAAACAAAACATTGCATCGCTGTTGAGCTCACAGATTTCAATTAGCTGACTGTGTACAGTATAAGGGGACATTAGTATAAAAGATCATGTTGTTACTTGTACATTGTGACTAGTGTTAAAGTATCAAGTAAAGTTTCCCCTTTTAGACTTTGCAATCTATAGGGCAGAAGATGTTAAGGTCATGTGAAGGTGTGAATAGTGAGTTAAGATCAATTATTCTTTGTTAATTTTTTTTTTCTAATAATTATTTTGTGAATCATGAATGATTAACACTCATTTCTAGGATGAAATACATTGCATTGCTGTTGTTTTTTTACCTTTACATATCCCTTAGTCTGTTAGACCACCATGAAAGATTCGTCACCCGTCTTTCTCCATTCCTCTCTGTCTTTTGCCTTAGTTAGCATCTCTTTCAATGGTAGGCCCGTCCATTCTTTTATGTTGTTCTCCCATCGCTTTCTGTCTGCCTCTTCTTCTTTTTCTGATGCTTTTCCCTGAAGGAAGGTCTTTGCGATAATATCGGTCATAGCAACTCTTTGATTCCAAATGATGTGTGCAGTGACTATGCAAACCCAGCTGCGACCTGCATATTTTTCTACATCTCGTGCAGACAAAATCGTTGTCCACAGGTGGTTTATTTAAGTTTTCTTTTTGTCTTCTACACCTGTCTTCGCTAAGGGCTTAAGGGTCTTAAATTGTGTGTCCCGCAGCCTTTGTGAGATCTCTCCAACTCTTTTTTAAAGGCCATCTGCTGCCAGCTACTTTCTTCCATGCCAGTCTGGTCCAAATGACGCCTGAGTTGATTTTTATGCTCCTATGGGGGCACCTCTCTTACGCTGTTGTCCTTTAAGTTCACCAAAGAATAAACACATTAAAGTAATTCAGTGAAGTGTGTTGTATTTTTTTTTTGTAATTTCAGGGCCGTATAAATAAAATTTGTTTACTTTAATACAGCATCTTATCCATTAATCTTAAAAGTAAGAAATTGAATTTTGATCTAACTTTTTTTTCTTATTCATGGTCCTAAAGAACTATATTTAAAAAGAAGGGCGTGGTGACTCAGTGGTTAAGCACTTGGCTTACAAACCTGGGCCCTGGGTTCAAATCTTGGTGAAGACTGGGATTTTGGATTTTTAGCTACGCTAATAAGTAGCTGACTTTAGCTGGGGAAAGTAAAGGCAGTTGGTCGGTGGGACACCTTGCTCATTAACCGTTGGCCAAAAAAAAAACAAATGTCCTTAACATCATCTCCCTTATAGATTGCAAGGTCTGAAAGTTGGAACTTGACTTTTTACTTTACATATCTAAAAAAAAGAACCAGAAAAGTTTGTCAGGACTTGATGGAACCATTTACATTCCATAAAGATCTCATGCTTAGTTGTTGTTTTCTTGTGTGTAGTCTTTCAGTTTTGTGTTGTTTTTAAGTACATATTCTTGTCTATTTAGTTGAGTGCTTTGCTGTGCCATATTTATATCAGTATTAACATGATTGTTGTTTTTTTTACTGTGAAGAAAAGTTGATATTTATTTCTATGCCAAAAGATACTAATTGGTCATTGTAATGGCAGACCTACTAGATATTATATGTTGTGTTACATTCATTGAATTAATTTTTCGTGTTTACCAGTTTTTTTTTTAATGTACTTTTTTAAACTATATAATAGATGTGGGATTTAGTTGAAAAGTTGTATTTTTGTTAATTTTTGTAGTTAAAAATAAGGAATTTGTGTGAACCTGTTATTAATCAAGTAGACTTAGCTAAAACCTTTCTTTTAGAATATATTTGGATTCCAAACATGTCCATCATTTTAATAGTCTGCTAATGCTTTCTTTCAATTGAACTCAAGCCTAGAGTGTATGGCAAACAAAAAATGTTTCTAGCTTGAGTTCCAAATCTCGTCTGCTTATAAAGTTCAGAATATTTCACTTTTTTTTTTCTATTGTCATTTGTGCCCTGGGATTTTTTACCCACATACATGTTTTTAAAACTGACACAATTGTCAGCAGTAAACCTTTAATTTGCAAAGAGACACTAATCTTTTTAACAACTTGATTTTTTGTTTTAATTTGTGTATAGATTTGAGACCTTCTTTATCTGTAATGTGTTATACAGTTCTTAATATTAAGCATTATTTTGTTGTATTTTTTGACAATCATTGTTAATTTCTGGTTTACATTGTACACCAATTTATTGCTTAGGCTGAAAAAAAATATTCACCACAGTCTGTCAAAAACATAAATATGGTACAGTTGTACTACATATTAAATATAGACCAATATTGAATTGTATCAATGATATGTGTTTTTTTTTTAAGTAGAAAAGAGATAAGAATAGAACCATTTTTAAATACATTATATTTTACATTCTTATAGAACTAATAATTTCAAGTGTGTTTTTTTTTGTCTTCATTATTAACTTAATAGATAAGAAGTTTTCTGGACTCTGCAATCAGCTTGTCAGTTTCAACACTGTCTGCCAGAATTATGTCAAAGACTATATAGTACCACTATGCTATTTCATCAGAATAAAACTAATCATTTTTTTGAAACTGTATTTATTGGACATCCGTGGTCATTTTATAGTTTTTGATTATGGATTCTTATGTCAAAGACTATATAGTAACACAATGCTATTTCATCAGAATAAAACTAATCATTTTTTTGAAACTGTATTGGACATCCGTGGTCATTTTATAGTTTTTGATTATGGATTCTAAGAAAAAATTTGACAATGAACTAGTTTAAAAAAATGTTGGATAAGTTAAACAATGTATTGGACTCGAAAAAAGAATGCGCTATAAATAATGTTTTTAGAAACCTGCTTTGAATCTTGGATGCAAATGTCTGTCTCAGTTACTTACCTTTTATATTATATAACTTGGCTATCATCTTCCAGAGTAGAACATCAGCATTATTTCCCTTACTGTAATCATTATTAAAGCATAGAAATTTTGTATCATGAGAGTTGCCAACTTGTTTTCTGATTACATTGTTTAAAAAAAAAAAATTTTTGTTAGCTAAGTGTAGATATACATATTATATTCTAAAAAAATTGAGGAATTAAAAACTTGAAGTAAACTTTGTGTCATTTTTTAAATAACACATATGAGTTTAAGGCTTTATTGTCATGATTGATTATGCAGCATTTCTCGAACTGTGGCTTGAAAAAAAAAGGGTGGGGGGGATTGTGCAATGTCCTGACAAAGAGTGAAGAAATGGGGGTGGAAAAAAAGTTGTACTTTCTTTTCAGTTATCAATCCATCTTTGACTATTAACCAAATAAAATGACATTATTACCAATGTTTCAGAAAATTTAAATATTTTAAGTGATAGATGTTTCGTATTCTAATGAGAACTTTTTAAAATGTATACTTGTTTACAGAAAAGGTGTCGACAACGAAATCCACTCTAAAGGTACTGAAGAAGATGTTTCAAATGTATTCACTTTAATTCTTCTAGTATCAAAATTCTCCAGACTGTCGTACATCCTTGTGATGAACATTTTTGTCTTACTGGACACATAGATAATCTTAACATCACTAGACATACACAGATGATCTTAACATCACTTAAGACATACATAGATAATCTTAACATCACTAGACATACACAGATAATCTTAACATCACTAGACATACACAGATGATCTTAACATCACTTAAGACATACATAGATAATCTTAACATCACTAGACATACACAGACGATTTTAACATCACTAGACATACACAGATGATCTTAACATCACTTAAGACATACATAGATAATCTTAACATCACTAGACATACACAGATGATTTTAACATCACTAGACATACAAAATGATTCTTAGCATCACTAGAGACACCTAGATGAATTTTATTTAGGGGGTGTCCTCAGTAAAAGTTTAAGAACCAATCTGAGGTTTACCCAGCTGTAATATCTATATAAGAGTTTAAATGTAGATCTAATAAAAGGTCAAGTATGTATTAATTTATAACAATCAACCACAAAAGATTCTAGCATCTTAGCATTCTGGGTTTCACAAAACCAAAAAGTTCCTTAGTTGGTGCTGACATTGTGTGGGTAAAGTAAAAGTGGGCTGTGGTTCAGCTTCAGCATTCCTTGAATTTGACATAGCCATCCTCCTTGATAGGAACTCTTTGGTCTCCACAGCTATTGTTTTGTTTACATTGATTAAAGTACACAGCTTTTAGTAGGCCCACACAACTCTTACTAAGGCCATATAATGACAATGAACTCAACAGGAAAACGAATATGGGGTAACTTTGTAACTTACAAAGTGTAATCCCAGGGTGATGATAAGTATAGCACACACATTTCTTTATTTGTGCTCATCTTACATGCTACTGTCTAAAAACCCATTCTTCATCACCACCCCTCCCTCCCCTGTCTCCTGATTCAGAATTTTACTACAGAATATTAAAATATTAACTAAAGCTTCGTAAATGTGTTGTAAAAATAGTGGCAATGTCCTAAGAGAGACAGTCTAGTCCTAGTCTAAAGGGCCCCTAGTCCTTTTCTCTAGGCTCTAGATTCTAGACTTTGTTGAACTAAAACTTAATTCTATGCTTTCAAAAAATATAAAAAATTTCAACAAAATATCTCTAGTGTGAAGATTAGTGTAGAGCTGAATGTTAAAGCACTTCCCTTTTAAACCAAGAAGATTATGAGATGTGTAATAATAATGGATAAATTGTAATGATAAACTTGACAAACAAATAAAAGAAACAAAAAATAATGTGCATGATTTTCAAGTCTACAAGTTTGTATTTACATCAAGTAGCATGGAAATCAAATAGTTATCAAAAGACATTTGGTTTCAACTCCGAATGAAGTTCAAAGTTCATATATAGTTGACTTAACAGGTCATACAAAGTAATTATGACCTGGGGGTCACCAGTTGAATAAAGTGATAAACAATGGGCATACAGTTAAAAAAAAACAATTCATGCAACAATCAGACCTGCATTAACTGAGCTGAATTAATCACACATTATAATTCATGCAACAATCAGACCTGCACTTACTGAGCTGAATTAATCATACACCTTATAATTCATGCAACAATCAGACCTGCACTTACTGAGCTGACTTAATCATACACACACACACAGACCAAAGAAAAGTATAAATGAAAGAGAATCTGTTATTTAAAAAAAAAAAAGATATTGCCGCCATATCAAATGTAAAGCATATATCTGAAGTTGCCTTAACATTGTAACATAGTTTAGTTAAAACAAACATAAGGCACTAGCTACAGGAAATAAGTCTTCTAACAAAAATGTCAAAAAAAATCAAAATTAGATCCTAGCATTCAAAAACTGACTAGAACAGAATTGAAATTTCAATCAAGAGTCCAGACTTACCGTTTTTCATAATAATGGTTAATAAAAGTAAAATCATTTAACTGTTTTTCATAATAATGGTTAATTTAAAAAAAAAATCATTTTAAGACCAGACTAAAATTATCTTTTTACCTTCTATGAAATTAAAATGTTTTATTAGTCCGAGTCTATGGTAGAAACTAAAAGAAAATTTAGCTCCTACGTCCTATGAGTTAATGTGAGAATTGTGGCCTCTCTCTTTCCTCTACACTGCTTGATAATCTGGTGGCTTCAGTTTGGTCCCAGTTCTTGATAACAATACCATAGTTAGGAAAGTTCTCTGAGGTCTGCGTGTCAAAGTAAAGTATACAAAACATGACCAGTAACTTCTGGGAGCCGAGGTCTCACTTAGACATGTACATTAACAAAAGTGATCATACACATCCTACGCATGTATTTAAACAATAATTGTTGCTATAGTCAGATAGGAGTAGAATGTAGTCAATAAAAGGTGAAACATCTTTACATAATGACTTCTAACAGAGAATGTCTGTCATCTCAATGTATAGTGCAAACAAAATAGTCAAATAAATATTGCCATACAGAATCAGAATCTGAGTCCTGTGTTCCAGCTCAGCATACTAAGATGTAAATGTATACAGAAACAAAAAAAAAAGTCAAGCAACAATCAGTCAGACAAATCTACTAAACACTGAGTGTGAACATTGTGAATAATGCCAGCCAATGTCAAATACAAAACAACTGACACCAAGTAGTGACACACAAATGTTAGGGAGTGACACTCATAATAATTACTTAAGGTTTGTTTATACTTTGTTTATACAAATGTTCTCTCAGCAAATTCTTAAGAATGGATATGAACTTACTATACCTATGAAATAAAACTTTGAACTCGTTTACTTGAGAGAGAAACAAAAATTTAGACCAGGAGTTGAGTTATAGGTGCCTATAGTCCAGGAGTTGAGTTATAGATGACTTTGGTCCAGGAGTTGAGTTATAGATGACTCAATCATGAGTAAGCTGTGCATCACAAAATGTGATTAAAATAGATAGACGCAGATTTGACATTAGTAAGATTGGCAGTACCTTCAACTTACAAGGTTGGTATAGATCTATGACTATGATTTAGAAGTTACAGAAAGAAGATGATTATACTATGACAAACCATTCCTGCAGGACAGTAGGGTAAGAGTGTGATAACAATCCATTATGATGGCAATCTGAAGCAAACAGCTTTATCCATGCCATTAATTTCTTATCATTGGCAACATTGGTTAGTCGATACAAGAAGCATTATGAAATACAAAAATTTATAAACCTAGATCAGACTTTTTCAACTGGAAGGTGACATACTAATCAATAAATAGTGCAAAGACACAATGTCATGGTAAAAACTGCAACACATGCTCTATAAGTCAGTCCTGAAATAGTCTTAAGTGCTAATGAGTGAAGTATACCTGATCAAAAATGAAATCCATTCAATAATTACAAAATAAAAACTGGAAAATTATTAATGAAACACAAAAAAAAAACTATTATGATACCTGCATTTATAGCTAATCAAAAAAAAAACAACTATTATGATACCTGCATTTATAGCTAATCAAAACACTCCTTACAAACTGATGACACAGAGAAACCAATAAATAGAAAAAGATCTTATTCATAAATGTAACTAAGGTTAACAAAGTACAAATTTGAAGGTAGAAATTATACAGTTATCTCCAACAAATTATCTTCTCTTATGAAAACACCCACAGCCCTATGGGCAGCAGTAGATTAATGTTTCCAATGATGCAACAGACTACATGCGGCAGACAAAAAAGAGAACAAAACCATGAAAGCTGCTGCCAGATTAAGTAATAGAAAATGATTGCAGAAAACTATTGTGTACCGTGAGCAGCTAGCATTCAAACTTAGTATATCTAGGAATCCATTAGACAGGACTCATGACACACAGAGATACATGGCCACTACAGTCTCCATAAATCTCAAGTTATAGTCTAGGCTGACTAGCTAGTCAGAAGTTCAAGGTTCAATATGTTTTTGTTAACATTCAATAAGTTTAGATAAGACTGTGCCGTGGCTGACAGTCAACAAGTAAAACTTGGGGGCAAGACATATCAAGACTTACATTCTTTTGATTTCAGTTTTGTACAAAAGTAAACAATTATTTTAAAAAATATTAATTATAATTAATTACCACAATAACAAATTTTGGTAGCAGAAGACGAATGAACTGTGCACAAGATGATAAGAAATATTTGAATTCATATATATAAAAAAAAACATTGTTCCAAAGTGTCACTCTTTACACATTGACATCAACAACAGGAAACATTTGAGTCCTACAGTTGTACATCTCTTTACTAGGGTTTTGTATTGCATGAATTTCTTTCACAAGGATGAAGTCAGACAGAAGATGGCAGCCTCTATGTTTTAAGGCAGTAGACTAGCGTTCAACACAGAATAGATTCAAAAGTCTAACAACTGAAGAGGGAAATCCTTGACCACAGCTAGTTTTCTATTTTATGGCAATGGTAAACAGTAGTAGTATGCAGTACTTTTATACACACATCCCTTTATGGCATCTCTAAACCTGACAGCCATTCTACTTCAGTTGCACCTAGATTATGCCTTTAAAACCTTATTTTGTTTTCTCTTTTGTCCTTGACTGCCTGGCATCTAGCAATACTAACATTTACAGAAAGAGTGGGCCGAATTACAATCAAGATAATGTACATACATACATATAATACATCAGCATACCAATCAAACATACACTGCTCAATCATGCAAGCCAACAGACTGGACCAATACTGATCAAGTCACCAACAATGAACAAACTCTGGGACTACAAGAAGAAACAAAAAAAATTTAGTTCCTGAAATCCTTCTTACTTTTTCATTTGACTTTATGATCTATTTGAACTAGCAGACAATCAAATCTCTTGGAAGTAAAGCAATGGCTACTTTCACTGTACATTTTCAATTTTAGCTGACATCCGGCAGGTAGCTGGTTAGCTGATTTTGCAATGCTAGATGCAGGGGAAGGCCAGCATTTTCCAAAGTTTTCTGTTAGATTTTATCTGCTCAGCATTGTCATAGTCCAAGCCAATCTATTGACTTTCCTGCTTTTCACTATTCCCTATCACCTTGCATCAAAGCTCTACAGAAAGTCTTAGTTCCAAATATAATTTATATTAAAATGTCAAAAGAAGAAAAAGTTTTTTTGTTGTTTTTTTTAGATGTGACAGCTGAATAATTATTATTGAATAAACTAAGTGGTCAGGTACCCATTCTTTCAAGTGGATGCGACTCGTCTGGTCAGATTTTGGGTAAAAAGACAATGTAACAGATCCACAACAATCCTGAAGTTTAATGCAGAATGTCTTCACCCACCTTAGCGCTTGGCAAGTGACTCAATGTATTCCAATATCTTTACTTGTATCCATATATATCTAAAAGAATCAGTTTGGCTTCATGATTTATCTCCCTTTAAAAATATTTTCCCTCACTAATTAAAAAAAAATGTTCTTGAATTGACTTGCTTCTAAGATAATAAAATCCTTCAAAATTAGATAGTTGTGGGATATTTCTAATAGTACAGTTGCTTAAGTCTCATTCAGTCTGACATCTAGCACCTTTGGTTAACACCATTACCACTATGAGATGCCTACCATTATGCTGAAAGTAATTCTCTCCCACAAAACATTTGAGTTGCTGGACACATGGCTGACACAATATTTACACTGAGTATCATTTAGAGAAGTTTGAATGTGTTCATAATTGTGGATACAAGTATTTTTTTTTCTTACAAGGATCAGGAAGATGGTGAACATAATTCCAATCTGGCAAGCTAACAAAAAAAGTCAATATGCACCAGGCCAACTTGTCTCTGTACTGTGTACAGTAGTCATTAGGAGAGAACTCTTGTCGATTGCTTTGCCTTTTATTTAGTTTGAGTTGTTCACCTTTATTGTGCTTTAAAACCTTACAATTCATCACAGCAATAGTTTATCTGCAGAGAGAGAGAAAAAAAAAAGATATGTAGCTGCTGACTTGACTAAATTAGATGATATGAATTCTACAACAGAGGAAATTCATTTTTAAATCTGTACTATATGAAGACTTACTAATTAATATTTCTGTTGGTCAAATTTTGTTGAAAATTTTGGTAATACATATTTAAAAAAAGATGTTTCGACTCACTGAAACATATTAATTCATGGAGTGGTCAATTCAAGTGATATAATTATTGTCATTGTGCTGATTTATTTGGTTTATTAAAATCTTTAAAAGTCTGTATTCTGAACTAACTATACATTCCCTTTCAAAGTGCATAGTTCTTAATATGCAAGATGACCACAAAAAAATTCACAAACTTGTCTGTGTGAAACAACCCAGAAAACAACAAATAGAGCGAAAAAATCAAAAGACACAAAATGGGGCTGGGTAAACTTTGCAAAGAACAACAGAAAATATTGCAAAACACACATTTGGACTAGAACCTACCGGAGAAGAGTAAGGCTGAGAGACCCAAAAAAAACATGGATAAGATCAGTGGAACAAGAGGCAAAAGGGGTAGGATGGACATGGACCCAACTGAGGGAATCGGCCAGAACAAAGTCCTATGATGAAGTACTATTGCGGCTCTAAGCTCCAATGGGAGTCAAAAGAATTAAGTTAAAGTTAAGTGCTGACTATAAGTTGATTTTATATTATTTAGGGATGTATTTTGTAGACAAGATATACAATTTGGGTAATTTATCATGGGTTTTTTTCTCTCAAAAGGAATAAATAGTTAGTTATGACTCTCAGTTTAGACTTCTTGCCTAGTGATGTTCATACTGAATCAAAGTTTGAACACATTCCAGCCTGCCCTGAAATCAACAGAAGAAGGTAGTTGTTGTGATGTGTTTGTGTCAATAGTTTGATGCCATTTTTTTTGTAGAATTGTTGTAGATGAGTGAATAAAAGGCAGTGGAAAAGAAGAGAGAGACAGAACCAAACTAGACAGACAGAACCAAACTATCATTATTATAGATGTTTCTTGTATGGCAGAAGCAATAGTTTGGAAGTGAGTTTAGTATAGTATAGTATAGTGTTAAATTGTTGCACAACTTATTTCATTTGTGTTTCTACAGAGCTCTACGTTCAAATTGAAAGCTGTATCTCTTAATGAATAAACATCAAAAGTATATTGTTTTTTCAATAAGATTTCTGAGATTTATTGTCTAAACCATAGGCTACAAGGGCTAGTTGGAATAACTACAACCCAATGCACATCCCTATAACACAGCGGTTCTCAACCTTTTAAGCTCGGCAACCCCTTTTTACTATCCCCCACTCTGCCGCGACCACTCCCCCTTTAATAAAATACACAGCAATAGAAGAATACACTAAATACAATCCATATTTTCGATGGTCTTAGGCGACCTCTGACAAATCGTCAATCGACCCCTCAAGGGGTCGCGACCCATAGGTTGAGAACCCCTGCTATAACAGAAGAGAATGCTTGTCACTGATTATGAAGTGCCTACACAGACCAACATAGTCAATTCTAACAACAAAAAAAAAACAAAAAAAACAAGACTACTTGGGAAGGAAATGTTCTTAATAGATGAAGTTGGCTAGTGACAGTACTTGGGTCAATGTGACCCCCCTACCTCCGGGACTCAATTGGTCTGCACTGTGTGTAGTGCTCTGACTTCACTGATCTTATCTGACCCTGGCTGGCTAGATCATTTATCTACCAGGTGTTCACTGACCACTTGACCACACTCTACTTGTGTGTGATACATAGTGTTATTACAAATAAGTATTTTATCTTGAGAGGGCATTGCCCCCCCCCAGCCAATGTACTTTTAGTGTATCCATTATTTAAAAACTTTAACATCTGTATGCATGCAATGTTGAGTTTTAACTCCATTTGAAACGAATGGAATAGACTACCATCAAATATCAGAACCCCTGTGATGTTAACATTTGAAACGAATGGAATAGTC